TCCTCCTGTGTCTGTCCTCCTGTGTCTGTGTCCTCCTGTGTCCATGTCCTCCTGAGTCTGTCCTCCTGTGTCCGTGTCCTCCTGTGTCCGTGTCCTCCTGAGTCTGTCCTCCTGTGCCCCATGCCCTCCTGTGTCCGTGCCCTCCTGTGTCCGTGTCCTCCTGAGTCTGTCCTCCTGTGTCCGTGCCCTCCTGTGTCCGTGTCCTCCTGTGTCTGTTCTCCTGTGTCCGTGTCCTCCTGTGTCCGTGTCCTCCTGAGTCTGTCCTCCTGTGCCCCATGCCCTCCTGTGTCCGTGCCCTCCTGTGTCCGTGTCCTCCTGAGTCTGTCCTCCTGTGTCCATGTCCTCCTGTGTCCATGCCCTCCTGTGTCCGTGTCCTCCTGAGTCTGTCCTCCTGTGTCCATGTCCTCCTGTGTCCATGCCCTCCTGTGTCCGTGTCCTCCTGTGTCCGTGTCCTCCTGAGTCTGTCCTCCTGTGCCCCATGCCCTCCTGTGTCCGTGCCCTCCTGTGTCCGTGTCCTCCTGAGTCTGTCCTCCTGTGTCCATGTCCTCCTGTGTCCATGCCCTCCTGTGTCCGTGTCCTCCTGAGTCTGTCCTCCTGTGTCCATGTCCTCCTGTGTCCATGCCCTCCTGTGTCCGTGCCCTCCTGTGTCCGTGTCCTCCTGAGTCTGTCCTCCTGTGTCCGTGCCCTCCTGTGTCCATGCCCTCCTGTGTCCGTGTCCTCCTGAGTCTGTCCTCCTGTGTCCATGTCCTCCTGTGTCCATGCCCTCCTGTGTCCGTGCCCTCCTGTGTCCGTGTCCTCCTGAGTTTGTCCTCCTGTGTCTGCCCTCCTGTGTCCGTGCCCTCCTGTGTCTGTTCTCCTGTGTCCGTGTCCTCCTGAGTCTGCCCTCCTGTGCCCGTGTCGGCCTGTGTCTAGTCTGTGAAGGCCGCAGCACCCGGCAGTCCCTGGCAGCCAGGGGCCGGGCTGTGGTGTGTGGGGACCTCACTCCCAGGGCCTCCTCCTCGGAGGTTCTGTCCAGCTGGAAAGGAGGTGGGAGGGCTGGTGGGAGTCTTTCTCACAGACGTGCCAGCCCTCCTCCATCTCATTTCTCCTGTTCGTCTGGAGCTTGTAGGCAGCTCTTAGTCCTCCTCCCCGTCCCAGCTGATGCTGGGCCCCGGTCTGCCCCTCTCCGGGCGCCTCCCCCAGGGCCGGGCAGGCTTCTGCGGGCCCCTGAGCCTCCATGTCCCGGCCCCTCAGCTGTCCCCGTGCGATCCCCCTGCCGGCTTGTCTGTCTGCGGTATGCACGGGGTTTCCACGGGAGGCCACCAGGGCCCGGCTGGCTTTCCCGGCTCTGCAGGCCTTTCCCAGCCTCTTCCTGTTCGCTCTCCTTTCCCGTTGGTTCTCGAAGACACTGGCATCCCGCCCCACGCAGAGTCAGCCCAGTGCCGCGCCCACACCTGCCCCCTCCGCCCTCCATGCCCACACTCAGCGCGTCTGACGGGAAACGGCCTCGGGCTGGGCCTGCTGTCTCAGCGTCCCACCACGGCTCTCCGGGAGCACTGCCATGAGCAGCCCACTCTTGCCCAGCCTGTGAGGCTCAGTGGTTGAGTGTCGACCTATGAACCAAGAGGTCAGGGCCCAGGCCCAGGCTGTGGGCTTGATCCCCAGTGGGGGACATGCAGGAGGCAGCCGGTCAATCAATGGTGTTCTCTCTCGCCGATGTTCCTATCCATCCCTCTCTCTCTAAAAATCAACAAAAACGTATTGAAGAAAAAAGTCAACTCTCTGCAGTTGCTTTCTCACCGTGGCTCTACCATAAACGGGTGCTGCTGCCTTCCCGGGAGCCGGACGGCTGAGCGGTCACACCGTCTCACACAGGAGGCCCCAGCGGGCAGCGCTCCCTGCACCCAGATAGACCCCGGACCCGACTGCAAGGAGGAAACCGAGCTGCCCGCCGGACACCAGGCCACAGCCAGCCTGTCAGGGAGCAGGTGGCTCCTCTGCAGCCTTGAACTTCCAAGGAGCCATGGCCCGAGTTTCCAGGAGAAACGTCACAACCCAAGCTAACGTGTGGATGCCCGTCACGGAGCCATGCCCTGTCCTGTGTGTGGAAGCCGCTGGCTCCCACGGCCACGGCCACGGCCACGGCCACAGCCAGAGGCAGTGAGGTGAGGTGGGCTTGGTCCTGAAGTGCTTCCTTCCTGTTGGTCCTGGAGCTCCAGCCTGCAAAGGCCACCTCCCGCCCGCAGCGCAGGGACAGCTGTCCACGCTCACGCCACGGCCTCGGCTGCCACGGGGGGTCAGCCACCACGGAGCTGGGCTGCTGCCCTGAGAAAAAGACTAAAAACAAGCAAGCAAGCAAACAAACAAACAAACAAAAAACCCCAAACAAGTCTTCATTCTTCACAAACAGAGACGCCCAGCAGCCCGTGGCCTGAGGGTTTATGGTGCCCCTTTAAAACCGTAAACTTCATTGGCCTCTTTCCGGGCGGCGGCCAGTAAACCACCGGGGCAGAACGAGCGGCTGTTTAGGTCCCGTGACATCTGTTAAGTCCGAGCCGCCAGGCGTGGGAAGTCGCTGAGCGTGGGAGAGAGCTCGCCTGCCCGCGTGGCTCGGCGGCTGAGCGCGGACCACGATCCAGGGGGTCAGGCGCAGGCTCCATCCCATGCGGGTGTGCAGGAGGCAGCCGGCCCCCGATTCTCCCTCGTCACCGACGCTTCTCTCTCCCTCCCCCTTCCTCTCTGACATCAATAAAAAATAAAAGGAGGGGAATGGGGAGGAACACAATGAAAAGGCGAGGAGGACACAGAGCTGTGAGCGGTGGCAGTGGTCAGGTTTTTATTTTCACACACACACACACACACACACACACACACGTTACATGTATGACATTTTAGGTCGAGCACAGATCACATCAGAAAATAAATGTTTTCCTTCCGGAAGAGAAGGCGCTGAGCACAGTGCCCCCTGCCCGGCCTGAGCCTGTCCAGCTCCTGCAGGGAGGGAGGATGGAGGAGGGAGGAGGGAGGAGGAAGGGGGAGGGGGGAGAAGGGAGAGGGTAGGGGGAGGAGGGGGGGTAGGGGGAGGGAGATAGTCTCTCTGGGGACTGAGGGTGAGTGCTTGGGATGTCTTGTAAAGTGCTTCCTATTTGGGGGATCCCCCTATTTTGTGGGGAACCCGTGGCATCCCGAGGCCTCTCTCTGTTCTCTCCTGGCCGGGGAGATCTGGGGAGAAACGGCTGGAGCGCCCGCCTCCAGGGGAGCACCGGCCAGCACGGGCTGTCCTTCCCGGGGGACCAGGGAGCTTCAGGCACCGGCCGCCCCAAAGGCCGAGCGGAGACCAGTCCTGAGGACGGAGCCGCTGCAGGGAGAGGCCGGGAGGCGCAGTGAGGGCGGAGGCCCCGCTCCAGTGGCTCAGCCTGCGCCTGGCGCTCCACACTGGAGCGCAATATTCCCGCGTTCGAAAGGGAGCCGCCTCTGCCGAGCTGTGCTCCCTGGCCCGTCCCCCTGCGCCTGGAGCGGAACGGAAGCCAGGCCCACCGCCGCCGAGCGGCCTGGGACTCGGGGAAACCCCAGTCTCAGCGCCATGAGCGGCCTGGGGGTCGGGGGTCGGGGGTCGGAGGTCGGGGTCCGGAGCTTGCTCCAGCCCCGGGCCCTGGAGGCCCTCGTTGCCTGGGGACCCGCCCCCCCCCCCCGGGACGTCCCCCTTCTCACCGCAGGTGGGGCCGGGGTGCGCCCGCGGGGATGGCCCCAGCCCGGCCCCCGGCGGCTCCGCCCGGCCCCGGCGCGGGGGTAGGCGCTCGGCGCGGCGGTTCCCTCTGGAGCGCGGGCCGCCGGCCGGGAGGGGCGGCTCACGGGGTGCGGGTCCGGTCCGGCCCCGGAGCCGGTTCCAGGGCGCGGGCTGCTCCGTACCGGGGCGCCCGCCCGGTGCGCCGGCTTCTCCCAGGGGCGCGGGGCGCGGAGGCGGGACCCGAGGCCGCTGGGCACGGGGGCGGGGGGCGCGGGGGGCGCGGGGGGCGCGGGGGCGCGGGGGCGCGGGGGGCGCGGGGGGCGCGGGGGGCGCGGGGGGCGCGGGGGCGCGGGGGCGCGGGGGGCGCGGGGGCGCGGGGGGCGCGGGGGCAGGGCCTTGCACCTCCCGGTTCTCCTGGGTCCCGTCCCCTCGGCGGCTCCTGAGGAATGCCGTGTAAAGCTGCCTGGACCGCTTCCTACCCATTGTCACCTCCCGCCCCCGGGGGAGGGTGGGGGTCTCCCACCAAAAGGCCATAAACCCGGGTGCCGGGGCTGGGCCGGGGCCGCGGCGGGGAGACCACCCAGCCCCCTGGCCCCGGGAGCCCGGGCCGCCCTCCGCCTCCCCAAAGCAGAGTGGGAACGGCCCAGGCCCCTTGGGGAGCGCGTCTGTCTCCCTTCCCGCTCCGAGGGGACGGCCGGGTGGACGCGGCCCCTGCAGGCGGGAGGGACGCGGAGGGCTGGGCCGGGGAGGGAGACGGCGTGCCGGCCGGGCTGGTGGGGGGTCCCGTGCGCTCCCGGCGGCGCACCTGCGGGCCGGAGCCCCTCCGTGGGACAGGAGCCGGCCGGCCGCCCACCGGCTCCGCCCGCTTTGATGGAGGCGCACACATCTGGGGGCGGGGAGAGGGGCGGGGGTGTGGGTGCCGGGGAGCCGGCCGGTCTGATGTGGCCGCAGCCAATGGGCGGCCCCGGACTTGAAAGGATGCGGCCTGCCCGCCGCCCCGGCCGCCCCTCCGGCCGCTATTTATGGGCCAGGACCCTGCTCCGAGCTGCTCCGTCCCAGAGGGAGTTCAAGTGGAACCCCGCCCGCCCAGCACCGCCCCCCACCGCCCCGGGGCTGTGCGGGCTCCGCTCAGGAGCGATCGGGGCGGCCGGGCGAGGGCGGCGGGTGAGGGTGGCCGGGCGAGGGCGGCGGGTGAGGGTGGCCGGGTGAGGGCAGCGGGTGAGGGTGGCCGGGTGAGGGCGGCTGGGGTGAGGGCGGCCGGGCGAGGGCGGCCGCCGGGGGCAGTGGCCGGAGGATGAGCGCCCCGGCCGAGGGCGCGGGGCCTGGCCCACAGCTCCCGCACCGCGTGGACCACCTGCTGAGCGCGGTGGAGAGCGAGCTGCGCGCGGGCAGCGAGAAGGGCGACCCCACGGAGCGCGAGCTGCGGGTGGGGCTGGAGGAGCGGGAGCTGTGGCTGCGCTTCCAGGAGCTCACCAACGAGATGATCATCACCAAGAACGGCAGGTGGGCGGCCGGCGGGGGCGCCCCCAAGGTCCCGGGGTGCCCTTCTGCTCAGTGCCCTCGCGGGGCGCGCCCGGGGCCGTGGTCTGGGGGCCCTGTGCGTGGGGGGGCGGGGAGGGGGTTCCAGAGGAGTCGGACGCCCCGGCCGCTCCTGTCCCACGGGACCCACACCGGTGGCGGCCGCCTGGGCCGCGGTGCGGGGTTTGGGGGGGGGGGTAGGAGGGGGTCTGGGACCTGGAAGCCCCCAGAGGGCCCTGTCCGCCAGCCTCCTGTGGCCCCGGGCCCCCGTGGTTCCAGGCGCATGTTCCCGGTGCTGAAGGTGAGTGTGTCCGGCCTGGACCCCAACGCCATGTACTCGCTCCTGCTGGACTTCGTGGCGGCGGACGGCCACCGCTGGAAGTACGTGAACGGCGAGTGGGTGCCGGGCGGCAAGCCGGAGCCGCAGGCGCCCAGCTGCGTCTACATCCACCCCGACTCGCCCAACTTCGGGGCGCACTGGATGAAGGCGCCCGTGTCCTTCAGCAAGGTCAAGCTCACCAACAAGCTCGGCGGCGGCGGCCAGGTGGGGCGCGGGGGGGGGGGGGGGGGGGGGGCCGGGGCCCAGGGGCCTCGCCTTCCCCAGGAACCCCCGGAGGGACCTGCGGCAGCCCCGAACCCTGACCCTGACCCTCAGTGAGGCGCAGTGCTGCCTACAGTGACCCTATGTAAGGTGACCAGATCGCCCCGCTTTTGGCGGGACAATCCTGATTTCTAACAATTTTCCCCGCATTACTTGGCGTTTTAAAAAGTCCCGATTTTTTTTAAAAAAAGCTGAGGGATGCCGGAAAAATTGCTAGAAATCAGGACTGTCCAGCCAAAAGCCGGACGATCTGGTCACCTTCCCTATGGGGGTCACAGCACGCCCTGGGGGACACAGAGGGGCGCAGCCCAACCTGGGGCGGGCAGGTCTCAGGTGGGGGGCTCATAGCGCCCCACTTCTTAGGGCCAACGGACTCCCTGGCGAGCGGCCGCCCCAGAGGTGAGAGGCCCCGTCCTCGCTGAGCGAGCGTCCTGCGCAAACCGGGACTGTCCCCGCAGCGGCCTGAGGCCCACAGACCCCGGGGCCTCGGCGTCGCGGAGGCCGTGGCCAGGATTCCCCGGTCCCAGGGTGAGGGTCCCAGGCTGTCACCCGGGGCCCGGGCTGTTGATGTCTGCTGGCCTCTGGCTCCTTCCTCCTGGCCCGGCCGTACCCCAGGGGCGTCCGCTGGGACCCTCCCCGGGACACGTCTCACTCCGTGTCTGTCCCCGCAGATCATGCTCAACTCCTTGCATAAGTACGAGCCTCGTATCCACATCGTGAGGGTGGGAGGCCCGCAGCGCATGATCACCAGCCACTGCTTCCCTGAGACGCAGTTCATCGCCGTGACGGCCTACCAGAACGAGGAGGTGAGGGGGGAGGGGGGGAAGGATGAGAGGGGTGAGGGGTGAGAGGGGTGAGGGGTGAGAGGGGTGAGGGGTGAGAGGGGTGAGGGGTGAGAGAGGTGAAGGGTGAGAGGGGTGAGGGGTGAGAGGGGTGAGGGGTGAGAGGGGTGAGGGGTGAGAGGGTGAGGGTGAGGGTGAGGGAGAGGGATGAGAGGGGTGAGGGGTGAGAGGGGAGAGGGGGGAGGGTGAGGGGTGAGGGTGAGAGGGGTGAGGGTGAGAGGTGAGGGTGAGAGGGGTGAGGAATGAGAGGGGTGAGGGTGAGGGTGAGGGAGAGGGGTGAGGGAGAGGGATGAGAGGGGTGAGGGTGAGGGTGAGGGTGAGGGAGAGGGGTGAGGGAGAGGGAGAGAGGGGTGAGGGATGAGAGGGTGAGGGTGAGGGTGAGGGAGAGGGGTGAGGGTGAGGGAGAGGGGTGAGGGTGAGGGAGAGGGGCCTGCTCCCTGGCAGAGTCCCGGGGGGATGGCCGATGTGTTAGCGGACCTCAGACCCAGCGGGTGTGGGCTGCCGCCGGGTTCGAGCTTTGGTGCTGGCTTATGCTCAGAGTGTTGTCCGCAGGAGGCCCCGTCCCTTGTGAATTCCACTCGGAAATCGGCCATGGAGAATGTCCATAAATGTGCTGTTCTTCTTGTGTGTTTTGTATGTTTGTACTGATGTCAGAGGGGAAAGGAGAGGGAGAGAAGCATCCATGACGAGAGAGAATCACTGATCGGCTGCCTCCTGCACGCCCCACACTGGGGATCGAGCCGGCCACCCAGGCCTGTGCCCTGACGGGGAGTCGATGTCAGCCCCTGGGCCATGCGGGCCACGGTGCTGCTCTGTACGGAGCGGCCCTCTCCCCAGCCGTGCAGGCCACCAGAGAGCCCGGACGGGAGCCGGCCACATCGGAATGTTTAAAGGGACGGACGCGGCTGCCTCCCGGTCTCTCAGTGCCGGTAAACCCTCGCTGCCATCAGCATACGAGGACGTGTGACTCCTTCTTTCTCAGATCACGGCTCTCAAAATCAAGTACAACCCCTTCGCCAAGGCCTTCCTGGACGCCAAGGAGAGGTGAGCGGAGCCCGCCCGCTGGGCGGCAGCCGTTAGCGCCGTCCCCGCGCCCTCCCCCGTCCTCCTGACACTGCCATGCGCTTTTTGGACAGAAGCGACCACAAGGACGTGATGGACGACCCCGGGGACGGCCAGCAGCCTGGGTTCTCCCAATGTACGGTTTGTGGCGCTGCCGGGAGCGGGGGCCGCCTGGGTCTGCGTGCGGCGGGCGGGCCCTTTGGCAGGGCCAGGCCCAGGGCCTGTGGTCTTCCCTGCCCGTCTCAGTCTGTCTCAGCCCCGAGGCCTTGAACCTCTTGCTCCCCTGAGGCTGCGAAGCTTGGGAAGGGGTGTGGCTTCTCCCTTGCTCCCAGCTGCTCTGGGAAGGGCAGGTTAACACGCTGGTTTGGGGAGACGGGCGGCTGGGGGCCAGGCGGCTGCTCGCTCAGCTCCTCCGGGCGCCCGGGAGCCGAGCAGAGGGAGGAGGTCTGCTGGGGGAGGAGGGAGAGCAGCTGGTCTCCGGCCCGGCGGGAGGCCGAGTGGCTGCCCCTGGGGGAGAGGCAGGCCTGCTGTCCTCCGGAGGCGGAGCCTGAAACAGGAAAACAGCAGAACACGGGGTCCCACCGCCCCGAGCACAGGGGCCCTCCTGGGTGAGGGACGCAGGGCCACTGCCGCCCGTCTGGCCCTGCGTTGGCCGTTGCGTTGGCTTCACACTCAGCAGCGAGCGCTGGGGCCGGCCGGGGAGTCTGAGGGCCCGGGCTGGGCTGCAGGCTCCTCGGGCAGGGCTGCTGGAACCCTGGTCCAGGGGCCTGGGGACAGAGCTGTGCCCTCAAGGCCCCCACGTGGTGGGACACCCAGTGTGATGCCCGGTGTGACGGCCGGTGCCCCCCACGGGCTAAGAGGACAAGGCCTCCCTGTGGGCTCTGCTGGCCTCTGGGCTGGAGGGCGGAGGGCGGAGGGCGGAGGGCGGAGGGCGGAGGGCAGAGGGCGGAGCACGAGGACCGAGGCCGATGCCAGCCACCAGCTTCCTTCCTCACAGCAGGGGGCTGGCTCCTGCCTGGCACCAGCGCGCTGTGCCCCCCGGCCGCCCCGCACCCCCAGTTCGGAGGTCCCCTGTCGCTGCCCCCCACGCAGGGCTGTGAGCGGTACCCCGCCCTGCGGAGCCACCGGCCGGCGCCCTACCCCAGCCCCTACGCGCATCGGACCAGCTCCCCCAGTAAGCCGGGCCCGATGGGGGTGTGGGGGAGGCTGCTGCTGGGGAGGCATCAGCAGGACCCAGAGGGAGGAGAGAACTCTCCGGAACGCACCCCAAGCCAGGCCTCCACTCCCATCCTCAGCCTGGAGCCCTGGCGCAGCCGTCCCACCCCACCCCACCCGCACCCGCACCCCCACCCCACCCGCACCCACACCCCCAACCCACCCGCACCCTCACCCTCACCCGCACCCGCACCCGCACCCGCACCCCCACCCGCACCCGCACCCCCACCCCCACCCCACCCGCAACCCGCACCCGCACCCCCACCCCCACCCCCACCCCACCCGCACCCCACCCCGCGCCCCTCCCCCACCCCGCGCCCCTCCAGCTCCCAGGCCCGGAGGCCTCAGCCTCCCCAGGGGTGTGGGTCAGCGGCACAGCAGCCCCCCGCTCAGAGCCGTGTTGGTCCGAGGGTGTGGGCCCCGTGCCCGCAGCCTGTAGCCGGCCCTCAGGCGGCCGTGCAGGTGTGAGCACCGAGCCCAGGCTGGGCCCTCGGGTGCCCCCCTTTCCGTGGCTCCCGCACCGCCTCCCAGCACCGGGCTGAGCAGCAGCTGAGGACCCGCTGGGGCAGCCACCGCCCGGGAAGGAGGGGGTCGCAGGGCCAGGTGCCCCGAGGCCGGGCCCGGGCGAGAAGGTCCACTGTAAACTCCGGCCCTCCGCTCTGAGGAAGGCTTGGGGACAGGCAGGGGACGGACGGAGGCAAAGCCTGGCCAGTGGGCGCGCTGTCAGTGCCAGGCAGGGCGAGCCAGGGCCCGGCCGCCCTGGGGGAGCCCGGCTGGGCGCACAGCAGCTCCTGCAGCTCCAGGCCTGGCTCAGGCTCAGCGCGCCGCCCCCGCCCGCACCCAGAGCCTCGCCTGCGGGCTGGGCCATGCCCGGGGGTGCCATGCACCTGCCGCCCTTGGGGGACCGCTGACCGCCACGCTCTCGCCCGCAGCCTATGCCGACGCCTCGCCCGCCTGCGTGCCCATGCTCCAGCCCCACGAGAACTGGCCGGGCCTCGGGGTGCCCGCCCACCCCGGGGTGCTGCCCGTGAGCGCCGGCTCCGGCCCCCCAGCGGGCGCCAGGTGAGGTGTGCGGGAACCGTGCGGCCCCGGACCCTGTGCCCACTGCGGCCTCGGTTCTGCTGGGAGGAGAAAGACGTTTTTGGCTGGTTTGGCTCAGTGGGTCCTGTCGGCCTGCAGACGGAAGGGTCCTGGGTTCGAGGATGGTCAAGGGCACATGCCCGGGTGTGGCGGGACCCCTAGGCCCCTTCCTCTCTGCTGTGCCCAGTGCCCGGGGGCCGGCCCCGCTGTCTCAGCTCAGAGTGCAGGCCTGGTGCCTGGTGGGGGCTTGGAGGGACGTGTCCCCGGCCCCGTTCTCGGGGTGCTGTCTCCGTCCCGCGAGTCCCTGGGTGGGGGAGTCACACGGGTGCCTCGTTAAGCACACCTTTGGACTTGGGTTCCGTCCATCTGGGGTCCTCGGTTCCATTCTGGACTCTGGGAGCACACCCTGCAGGGCCGGCCCTGAGCTGCGTGGGTGCCTGTGCCGTGCTCCCGGCTTCCCCGCGGCTCTCCTGGCGACAGGGGTGACGCTGACACGCGCCTCAGCGGGTCCGACATGGGACTGCGGCTGCAAGGCCCTGTCCCCGTTCTCGGGCGCTGGGTTTGGGGTCTGGGCCTGACGGTCCGGCCCAGCCCGGCCCCTGACGGTGTCCTCCCCTTGCAGCCAGTACCCCGGCCTGTGGTCCATGAGCAGCGGCGCCAGCACACCGGCCGCTCCGCCGGCCGCGATGCCCCCGTTCTTCCGGGGGCCGTCCCCCCACCCCGCAGCCCTGGGTCCCCCAGGCACGGTCCCCTCCTCCTCGGGGTCCCCACTGTACGACGGGGCAGCCGCAGCCCCGGACGTGCCCGACAGCCAGTACGACACCTCGGCCCTGGCCTGCCTCATCGCCTCCTGGACGCCCGCGTCGCCGCCCTCCATGTGACACGGTCCTCCATGTGACCCGGTCCTCTGTGTGACCCGGTCCTCCATGTGACCCGGTCCTCCATGTGACCTGAGTCCTCCATGTGACCTGGTCCTCCATGTGACCTGGTCCTCCATGTGACCTGAGTCCTCCATGTGACCCGGTCCTCCATGTGACCTGGTCCTCCATGTGACCCCGGTCCTCCCTGTGACCCGGTCCTCCGTGTGACCCGGTCTTCCGTGTGACCTGGTCCTCCATGTGACCCCGGTCCTCCATGTGACCTGGTCCTCCATGTGACCTGGTCCTCCATGTGACTTGGTCCTCCATGTGACCCCGGTCCTCCGTGTGACCCCGGTCCTCCATGTGACCTGGTCCTCCATGTGACCCTGGTCCTCCATGTGACCTGGTCCTCCATGTGACCTGGTCCTCCATATGACCTGGTCCTCCATGTGACCCTGGAGCTCCATGTGACCCGGTCCTCCATGTGACCCGGTCCTCCATGTGACCCGGTCCTCCGTGTGACCCGGTCCTCCGTGTGACCCAGTCCTCCGTGTGACCCGGTCCTCCATGTGACCCGGTCCTCCATGTGACCTGGTCCTCCATGTGACCCGGTCCTCCATGTGACCCGATCCTCCGTGTGACCCGGTCCTCCATGTGACCCCGGTCCTCCATGTGACCCGGTCCTCCATGTGACCCGGTCCTCCGTGTGACCCGGTCCTCCATGTGACCCGGTCCTCCGTGTGACCCGGTCCTCCGTGTGACCCTGGTCCTCCGTGTGACCCGGTCCTCCATGTGACCCGGTCCTCCGTGTGACCCGGTCCTCCGTGTGACCCGGTCCTCCGTGTGACCCTGGTCCTCCATGTGACCCGGTCCTCCATGTGACCCGGTCCTCCATGTGACCCGGTCCTCCGTGTGACCCGGTCCTCCGTGTGACCTGGTCCTCCATGTGACCCGGTCCTCCGTGTGACCCGGTCCTCCATGTGACCCTGGTCCTCCGTGTGACCCGGTCCTCCATGTGACGCCCCGGTCTCCGGGCCTCAGGACGCAGTGACTCCTCGCCGTGCCCGGGCCTGGGAGCCCGTCGGTCCAGGCACACGGTGCTCACGTCCAGAAAGAAACACGTGACCACAGACAGCCCCTCGGCCATGGGTCCTGGCGGTGTGGCCGGGCCATGTATGTGCTCAGGGGAAGGACACGCTGTGGCCTCGCTCACGGGTCACGGTGAAGGCATTGCTGGGTCCGGAATGCCGTCCCCACGGGCATGCAGAGCACATGGACAGCTCGGTGCCGTACTGTGACCAGGGCCCGCCCGCCCGCCTGCCGGGCCTGGGGCACGGAGGACGCCAGCCGCCCGCCTGCCTGTCTGCCGGGGTGGTGGGGAGCCTGGCAGCCATCGCTTGTCTGTCAAACCCGCAGCTGTTTCCCCTTGGTCCTGACCCCGCAGCTGACGACAATCAGCAGAAAGCCTCTCTGCACAATAAAGGCTCCGCACGCCGCTGGTGTCCGCCCCTTCCCTTCCCTCAGGGGAAGCACTGGCCGGGGTACGGGGAGACGGGGCCGGGGTGGCAGCTGGCAGCAGAGACTGGTCCCACAGACATGCCTTCGTCTGCTGTGTCCGTCTGCGAGGAGGCGGATGGAGGAGGCGGACAGGGGGACGGACGGGGGAGGCGGACAGGGGAGGGTGTACGGGGGCGGCCCAGGCCAGCGTACCAGGGAGTGGACACAGTCGGTGCCTAAAAGACCCACTGTGGGTGTGTAGGCCCTGGGCTGTGGGGCTCTGAAAGTATGGGGGCCCCTGGGGTGTGGGGCCCCTGGGGTATCCCGGTGACCAGGGCTGTGGGAACTTCCCGGAGCAGCAGGAGGTGCCTGTCACTGCCGCCACCCGCACCTGCCATGTCCGGACGCGGGTCCTGGGCCCACGGAGGTCCCCGGGGTGGAGGCGAGCACCCTGGGCTTTGGTAGCTGTGCTCCTGCCCCCGGCGGGCACGCTGCTGGTGCGGCCTGCCACGTTGGCCGGGTCTGAGTGCCCTTCGGGGCAGCGTGGCCAGGCCAGCAGGTGTGGCCGTGGGCATGTTCGGGAGCCGCTGCCCGAGGAGATTGGGTGGCTTCAGCCGCGGGAGGGTGGCTGGGGGCGAGGCCCCTCAGGGGAGGAGTGGATGGGGTGGGGCACCCCGAGACCATGGCTCTGGGACCCCTCGCTGAGCCCGGGTCCCCGTCACCGGCCGCTGTGGAGGCTGGGCCAGAATTTCGTGTTCCGGGGGCCCCCCAGTGCCACCCCTGCCTGGGCCTTCGGAATGGGGGGGACCCACACTCTGTGTGGGAGACCGAGACCGTTTCACACAGAAGATGGCCGGGGCCTGACGGGCCGCGTTCCTATGGAGCCCATTGTTCACGGAATTCACATTTCAGCCAACGGGACGGGGTTTCGGGTCCCGCCGTGGGGCCCGGCAGCTGGACCGGGCCGAGGGCGTGCGGTTTGTGCCAAGGGCCTGGGTCTGAGCATCTGCCCCTCGCTGGCCGTGGGACGGGAGAGCGGGTTCCTCCTCCGCCCGCTCCCTCTGGAGCCGTCGCTCCGGTTTCCGGTTTGCAGAGCCTGAGCTCCAGGGCGTGCTGCTGCTTCTCCTTTTAAATGCACGTAACTGACTTTTCACAGAGAGGAAGGGAGAGGGACAGAGAGCTAGAAACATCGATGAGAGAGAATCATCAACCAGCTGCCTCCTGCACTCTCCCCACCGGGGCCGTGCCCGCAACCAAGGTATAATACATGCCCCTGAGCGGAATCGAACCTGGGACCCTCAGTCTGCAGGCTGATGCTCTACCCACTGAGCCACACCGGGTAGGATGTTTTGGAAACAGGAAGGGGAGACGCCACAATCACAGACACTCAGTGACGTGGGAGGCAGGCCTGTTAGAAGGCAGCAGCCCGAATAGAGCCTCCCAGCGCGGGCCGAGCGGGAGGCGCCGAGCGGGGAGAGGTGGCCTCTGGTCCGGGCGTGAGCAGACTGGCCAGGCCCCCCACACTGCGCGTTCCTGACACAGCCTGCCGGGGAGGTTTGGGGGCCCCCCGCCCCGCCCCCCCATTGTTCTTCCACTGGAAGGAAAGGCTTACTGCTGCCTGGTCTCCGTGGGCTCAGGTGTAGAAACCTCCGGGCGTAACTGAAAGGTCCTGTTTTGTTCCGGGGCCTCCGACAAGACCCCCAAATGCCCCCCCACCCCCCGTAAATCCCAGGGAGCCCCCTCGGGGACCCGCCCCTCCCACGCCCAGAGGCCACCACGTGTTCCCGCTCAGCCGCACGCATCTTCCAAGGACAGAGGGAGGCCCTCCTCCAGTGCTAAATGTGTTTTTCCACCGTGCGAGGGCTCACCGCCATACACGTATGTCTGCGCTTCCCCCGGGGCGTGTGTGACGTTTATTACAGACACACACCTGCTCCCTCTGGGTGGCTACTTTCCATTCTGCTCCATGGATCTGTTTCCTGACCGCGTGCCAGTGTTTCCTGTCTCACTGCCGGAGCCTTGTATTATTAACAGTCCTCTCCCTTTTTAAAGAAGAGTTTACTGATTCTCAGAGAGAGGGGAGGGGGATGGAGAGCGAAAAATATCTGTGTGAGAGCGTAACGTCCATCGGCTGCCTCCTGCACGCCCCCTACTGGGGATCCAGCCTGCACCCCGGGCATGGGGACCCCGGGCATGGGGGACCCTGGGCATGGGAGACCCCGGGCATGGGGGACCCTGAGCTTTCTCTGAGCCACCACACTTGGGGATGAGGGGGGCCATGGGGGACCCCGGGCATGGGGACCCCGGGAATGGGGACCCCGGGCATGTGGGACCCCAGGCATGGGGATCCCGGGTATGGGAAACCCCGGGCATGGGAGACCCCGGGCATGTGGGACCCCAGGCATGGGGACCCCGGGCTTTCTCTGAGCCACCACATGGGGATGAGGGGGGCCGATGATCGCCCTCCAGCTGCGGACACACCTCCTCCCAGGCGCTCTGTGTGCTCTGCACTTAGAGGGCGGGTGTGAGAAATGACGGCCATTCCTCACCTCCAGGAGAGTTTTCTCATCAGGAGGGACATTCCTGGCGGAGTGACTGAGGGAGGGAGGCTGAGGGAGGGCGGGCAGGAGCAGGGGTGTGTGCTCAGGGCAGGGGCACAGGCTGTGAAGGGCCCGCAGTTTCCAAGGTTTATCCGGACCCGGGTCCCAGGCCGCGGCCTGAAGGCTGACTCCCTGACTACGGCTACACCTGCCTCCCAGGGCCCGTTCCCAGCTCGGCTTCCCCTTCAGGGTGAACCGGGAGGAGCCGCCTTCGGCACAGCCCGGAGAACAGCGCCCGGTGGACCAGGCTGGCTCTGGGGGTTTGACATTGTTACTTGAAAGCAACGACCCACAGGTTCCTCAGAACTAGAAACAGCCTCGCTCGGCCTCTTCCCAAGAACCGACCGGCCGAGCGGTTCTGAGGCAGGAAGGGTCCGCTGGGAGAGCCCGCGCTGTGCCACTCCTCACAGACTACTTTTTATCTAATATACCTTATTGATTTTCACAGGGAGGGAGAGGGATGGAGAGTCAGAAGCATCGACCAGCTGCCTCCTGCACACCCCCCTGGGGATGTGCCCACAACCAAGGCACATGCCCTTGACCGGAATCGAACCTGGGACCCTTCAGTCCGCAGGCCGATGCTCCATCCACTGAGCCACACCAGTTAAGGCTCATATTAACGATTCGTTGCAATGTGTAGACTGTAGATCAAATAGTCCCAGAAATCAAAGGTTTCGTCGTGTTCCTCGCCCATGCTCCAGTGTCTGGTTTTGAAGATGCGCCTGCTGCCACGGGTAAAGCCCCAGGAAATGTCGGAGCGCCATGACCGGTCCTCACGCCGGGGTCCCTGCCTCGCTTCCCGTCTGATCGCGCCCGGGGTGAGTGTGCGCCTGGGGCCCCTGGTTCATGGTTACTGCTGTGCTCCCTGTTTGGGCCAGAATCACCTTCCGTATCAGGACTAGCTCTCCCCTCGCCGGCCCCTCGTGTCCCGTGTTTCGGAGTTGTGCCCTCGCTCTGCCGGGCTCTCGGACGGCGGGGCGGGCCTGGGCGCAGGTGCGAGTACTTTGCCCCAGATGAGGGTGCTGATGGGATTTTTAGAGAAAAAACCTGGTGAGCGAGAGCTCCTGAGGGTGGAGTTTTTGTTTGTTTAATTACGTCTCCGGCATCTTGGCGGGGACGGCGGGCGGGGTGGACGGGTGTCGGAGGCGGTGATGGATGACTCCGGTGATTGCGGTTCGGACGGCGGGAACATTCCCTCCCCGTGAGGCAAACAGCCCTGTGTGCTCAGATGCCGGCCGTCGGAGGTAAACAGGCGGCCCAGGCTCCTGGGCAAACAGCGAGGCCAGGGGTGCGGGGCGCGGGGTGCGGGGTGCGGGGTGGGCTGACAGCGGCTCCTTGTCTGCCCTCGCTCCCCCTCGTGCCTGGCTTCTCCCGGCAAAAGGAGAGCCGTGATTGGGATCCACAGCAGGAGGAGGTGGAGACGCAGAGAACGGGAGATGAGCGAGTCGGGGTGCGGAGGGAAGCTCATTGCTGCCTGGGTCTCCGTGGGCTCAGGTGTGAAAACCTCTGGCATAACCGAAGGCCCTTGTTTGTTCCCGGGCCTCGGACAGGTCCTCAAATGCCGCCCCCCAACCCGTAAATCCCTGCGGGAGCCATGCAGGGACCTCGACCTCCCCCCCATAAATCCCCGCGGGAGCCCACGCAGGGACACCCCCCTATAAATCCCTGCAGGAGCCATGCAGGGACCATGCCCCCTATAAATCCCTGCGGGAGCCATGCAGGGACCATGCCCCCCTGTAAATCCCTGCGGGAGCCATGCAGGGACCATGCCCCCTATAAATCCCTGCGGGAGCCATGCAGGGACCACGACCTCCCCCCCATAAATCCCCACGGGAGCCATGCAGGGACCACGACCTCCCCCCGTAAATCCCTGCGGGAGCCATGCAGGGACCATGCCCCCCGTAAATCCCTGCGGGAGCCATGCAGGGACCATGCCCCCCGTAAATCCCTGCGGGAGCCATGCAGGGACCATGCCCCCTGTAAATCCCTGCGGGAGCCATGCAGGGACCTCGACCTCCCCCCCATAAATCCCCGCGGGAGCCATGCAGGGACCATGCCCCCCGTAAATCCCTGCGGGAGCCATGCAGGGACCACGACCCCCCCCCCCATAAATCCCCGCGGGAGCCATGCAGGGACACCCCCCCTCCCCAGCTCACTGGCCCAGGAAGGTTCAGAGACGTCCTCTGTGATCCCCACCTGGGGACAGCCATGGCCACGCCGGGGACAGCCACGCCGGCAGCCGGCGGAGATGCAGCTTCGGTGTCCACATACACAGGGAACGTCCCCGAGTCACAACAGAGCCAACCGCTGCTACGTTCCAACGTCCCATAGTCTTAAAGCACCTGTGCGCCTAACGGAAGGCAGACAACAGCACACGATGTGATATTATTTATGGCGTGTTATTCCGTGCATACAGTTATCTGGCATACAGATGCAGAGCCGGTGTGGGAAGCCAGAGGAGAGCGGGGGGGGAGCGTCTGGACGCCATGGTGTGTCAGGGCCCTCGCTGTGTGGTGTGATGG